AAAGTAGGATATCATCTGTCTACATCCCGTTGATCAGCCCGATTATCTGAGAAATAAAGCCGCCATATCCGCCGAGTTAAACTAGCGTGTTTCACAGGAGTTTCGCTGGGAAGTATCCGTTTCTCCCCTTTAGGGTTGGAATCGAGAGATTTGCAGTGGGTGTAGCGGGGTCTGCGAGAAGGTTATAGGCGAAATTCCCGGGAAACTCTCTCGAGCTGCGAATCTCCGCCAATAGACGAGGCGGAGTCGAATCGTCGTGAGAGACCCCGGGACGCAGGGAACGGAGCGGATTAATTAGAACTGCCCGTTTCGTCGGTGGAACGACATTAACTCACTTCCCTTTACGTCTGATCGTTTGTGATTGCGATTAAAGGCTTAGACATCATTACTTAACGATCGGGCGAACAAAACGCGTATTAGACCCGAGGAAATGGGAGATTGATCTTCGCAAAGCCGGTCATGTCAAAAGACTTATCGTATTCCTTCTTTTTTGCTGTTCGCACGTCCTGTCGAAGAATTTTTGTCTTTTTTTCAAAATGGAAATTTAGTCTTCGATGTTGGAATTTTCAGAGATTACAAAATAATTAATTTCGATTAAATATTCATATCATGAGTATAAGTTAACTGCAAAACAATTTTATCTTTTCAATTATTTCAACAAATCTGCTTACATATTAGCTTACGTTAATATTTTTTTTGTATATGAACGTATCAAATAAGTCTCGTTCTAGTATTTATATATGTATCAGACTTTTGTTCAAAATATCGTACAGATAATAATAAATCACGAGATCTTATCTATCATATTCTTTTAAGAGAGCAGATAAAGATATAATATAATGTTATGCGATATCGTTAAATGGACTTTAATGCGAAATACAAATAAAAAGGAAAAAAATTTGCGATACGATTCACGTCACGGAAGGAGAAAAATAAGTCCCATCGAAGGGGAAAACTTTTTTTGCACCCCATCGAATCTCTGTCATTTAAATCCTGCTCCGCGCAGTCGAGTTCAGCTCGACTTCGAGAGTATTTTTGCAATACTTCCCACTTGTCTTCGTTAGCGTTTTTTTTTCTGGGATTAAAATAAAGTAAGCACGGCGAGATTTTTTAATTTTGTTTTCGCAATTTTCGACTTTATCGTTTTCTCTCTCTCTCTCTCTCTCTCTCTTTCCCTCAATTAGCGGATTTTCCATCGAATATCGCTTTTTTTTATTTTGCACAGCAGTAGTGAAAATAAACTGCGAGCGTCGCGTTTCCGTAGATTATATTGCCAATTTTTTTTATTTCAAAGGCATCGTAATTCGCGGAGTCCGGAAAATTTAGATGCTCCTATAAATTTTTTTTATTGCAGCAATTATGTGTGAATCAGTTTCGGCATTAATTCTAGTCGCCGATCGACTATAGAATTGTTTGAGAAATGAGCTCGCGAATATTCCTCGAATTTCTCTTGTCATATCGACTACGAATGATGTATCGTTGATAGGTATGTATACCTTTGAACTCACAAAGTAACCTTTAAACTTTCGGCACCTCTGTGAGAACGCGGCTGTAAGTTGAGATTTTCTGGGCGTGTGCACGTGTAGGTGTGCTCGCGAGTATTCCGATATCCTATACTATACGTCGAGTAATGTAAAAAAATGTAAATTGAATTCGTACCCTTCCCTTTCAGCGTGGTAAAAGCATTAAAATCTTACGCAAGCGCGGGACTATATTAATTATGTTTGCCGATAGCGGTAGAGCAACGCGGGGCACTAAAGATATTATTACATCTACTTATATTAAAAAGCCATCAACGCGAAACACATGACGGAGTGGAGCGGAGTAATTTTTCCCCTTCAGCCATATATATGGAAGAAAACAAGCTTATATTCATTAAAAAAAAACCGACCGACAAAAGCTTACGATAGATTCGACGCGCTTAACAATAACCTTATACGCTGATAAATTGCGGCGTGACGTTTCTTCAACCCGTCGACGGGTGCATAAATCAAAATAGACAGTATTGTATCGAGACAATCAACGCGGTGCGGCGTCGGCGGCGACGGCGACGGCGACGGCGGTGGCTGCGTATCGGACGCGCAGGTGCGTCGAGGCCATTACTGCGACTGCGAAAGCTGCACCATGCGCCCTGGTGCACCATTCGCCTTTAATATTTCTGCCGCAGCGGCGCACAGCAGGGCATAAAGTCGCTTTTTGCGGTCAAAAATCGTTCGATGGCTCAATTCTCAACGGATTGCAATGGGTTTTTTTTTTTAAATACACGTCATTTACTCACGGAAAAAATTGCTGTGGACGTTACAACAATATTCTCTACAATATTCTGTTTGGAAAAGAAATGCATACACGGAGAGAATTTTTTTTTTAAATTTACCCTGAAAATCATGTTAATTGTGAGACAATATAGTATTTAGGTAAATTTTACTGTGCAATAAATTTTACTGCGAAATCTTATTGTAGTGCATAGTAAAATTTGCCTAAATACTATATTGTCCCATAATTAACATGATTTGCAAGGTAAATTTAAAAAAAAAGTATATGAATTTAAGTTATATTGATGTTACATACATCTGTTAAGGTATGCTCATCAGTACGGTTGTCACAACCGTAGTGCTTAGGATAAATCGCTGATTACGAAACTGTCATTCAAATTTCAAAATTCAAAATAATTGATTCAATATAGCGGCCGTGAACTGAAAATGTGAGACAAATTCGCAAAATTTATTCCACATTTTTAGCTCACGACCGCTATATTGAATCGACCATTTTGAATTTTGAAATTTGAGTGAAATATGACAGTTTCGTAAACAGCAATCCAAAAAACCCTTGCAGACGAAGATTTTGATGAAAGAATTATGAATATACTAAAAAAATGTTTGTCAATAAGTTTATTACAATAACGATTTTTTGTTAATTAACAAATTGTAATATTAAAAAATGTGCAGGTCTACAGTAGTACAGTAAATAATGACGCGTATTTAAAAAAAAAATTCATTGCAATCGGTTGAGAATTGAGCTGTCGAACGATTTTTGACCGTAAAAAGCGACTTTATGCTCACTGCCACTGCAAATCCAAGTGTGTAGGGGAGACCGAGGCTCGTTGGCATAAGAGGCAAGTTAGCATTGCGTTCTGTTTATATGTTTATGATTAAAGAAACAATGAAAAAGTTACTGTAAAATATCTCTTCTATAACATAGGCACATTTCTGTAAGTTGCTTTTAAATCAAACAAGTATTTCAGTAAAGAATAAGAAAAATCTGATTCAAGAAAAGGCAAGTAAATTTCCGAGTGTTTCAAAACTTCGTCCTAATGTTCTTCAGCTGGAGAGAGTAAATCTAAGTGATGTATTATTAAAAGTTAAAACAAAAGTTTTTTGTTATACAATATGTTATTTTGAGTAATAACCATAATTTATTATAACAAAATGATTTAAATTATATGTCTGTAAGTATGGGGCATGTTGGCTCATATTTAAGGTTAGCTTACAATTAGTTTAATTTACTATAAGAAGCGTATAACCTTTCAATTATAACTTAATTATGACAAAACGTTTTTTATTTAGTATTTCTGTATTGAATAAGCTATATCTAAAATAATTTACATTTATTACTCTATAACAGCATTTTTTTACTATTTGATCATTACAAAATAACTCTAAAAGATGCGATCTTTTTTTAAGAAATACGTATCTGCGATCTGTTTTTACTTCTATTATGTTTTCATTAATTTAATATGGAATTTATCGCTAAGCAACTTGCACTGTGGTATGTGTAAACTTACCCGGCTATCAGGGTATAAATTGGCTACATTGCAGCATGTTCGTATTTCACTTACTACAAAGAAACTATACAGTATACGGAATCGTTCCTGGCATGAAAATGTAGAGGAAGGTTCATTTTACCATATTAATATAGTTTAATCATAATAAATAATTGTTTAAAAACAGGAATGTCTAAATTGTGAAAACTGTGTCAACGAGCCCCGGTCTCCCCTGAGTTTAAATTTTTACACATTTTATTTGTGTTTTAAATTGTTAAATGAATATTTTTTACACGCTTACACATATTATTGTAAAATTAAGCGTGTAAAAATATGCATTTAACTGTGTAAAACACAGATAAAATGTGTAAAAATATAACGCGTATAAATGCGTAAAAAGTGACTACAAATTTACACATTTGGATTATGGAGTGTGTGCGGCGGCGCGGAGAGTATACGTGGCGAGTATACGGCGCTTTTCCCGTGCGTGCATCGTGCAAAATGAGAGGGAAAATGCGCGCCGCCAATGAAAAGCCCCCGTGGAAACGCCCTTGCCCTACTGTCCTCGACCCTCCACTGCGGCCTCCCCGCGCGCGTGCTTTCATCTTTCAACGCGGCGCCCCCGCCGCGGTGTAATTGGACAAACATGAGCTGATATTTATGCAAGTGTTATATACGTCCGACACGAAATGTTGCTTGCACGTTGCGCACAGTTACGCACAAATGTAAATCCTGTGAATTCGAGTGCCGTGACGGAGAATTATTCTCGAGAGCAGAGAATGCTTCTGCAATCAGGTGCCAGCGTGAGGAAAACGAATGAATTTGAAGCGACAAGAAATTACGGCGGGAGAATAGGACGGGAAGAGAGAAATTGTACAATTCTGATTGTGCGATATTCAAACGCGTTTGTACCAACAGCGACTTGGTGTTGTTGATGTTAATTGGGAAGTACGCAGAAAGTATGTAAATTAAGAGCTAAGGCTTCTTTGAAATGCACTTCTGGAAGATGTATAGCGTGAGGCACGAAAGGGGAAGTCGATCTTTTAAAAGTATTTTATAATAATGTTTCACTTTATAATAGTAATGTTTCAATGTAAAATTTGCTCTCGCGAATATAATTTTGTTATTGACGCGAAGAAAGTTAACATTAACTGAACGGAAATGAAGTTGCGACTCTGTTACAATAATCATGTACGGTTTAAGGTAAACATTAAGAACTAAGATAAACAAGGAGATTTACCGTTTCCTGCCGTTATCATGTTTCCCAGCTGCAATATTTTGCTTAAGGTTTTTCCACTTTCCTCCGGCGTGACTGATGTACCAGCTTCCTGTTGCGCCATTCCCATCTGTAAATAATATTTTAATGCTCAACTTGAAGCGTGATTGCTTGTACAGTAGAATATAAATAAATCTTAAGTCAAAACATGAGAATTATCCCTTCTCCACACATTGCGATTTTCATTAGTATTATCGTAAACTGTTTTGTCAATTTTATTCATAATTATAAATTATTAATTACAAACATTTGCTACATCTATTTAACATCATTCAAATTTAAAGATTTGTGTTTAAAGTTTTGCGTAAAAAATCTCGTATTGATAATGTCTATATATAATGCATTACTTAATTCTTATATAAATTCGCAAAGAATTGAACAAGTTTTTTTTCTCGTAAAATGTAATTTTGAAAAAAGTACAATTAACACACACAGGTCAGAATTAAGTTTATCAAATGTACCCGCCAATGCTACCGGTAGCATGCTAATAATAAGGTATGATATTTAAGCTTGGAACGACCTAATTTGCAACCCGATCCTCGTTTACTTAGATATCCTTGACCCAGTGAACGGAAATATTAATTAACATCCAACTCATGGATCTCTCGCAGATCGTGTCTCAAACTGTGGTGTCCTCGAACTCTGTCAGCGTGATTACACACAAGGAGAAATGTTAGGAGGCACTCGAAAGTGGTGTGGTCGGAGGTTAAATACCTTCTGTCGTAAACGAAAACTTACCGAGTACTAAAACCGAGACTAAATATACGATATTTGGTTTGCTCACATATACGTTTTACCAGAACTGCTACAATATTTTACTACAAAAATTAACTGTTGATTTGAACAATTTGCAAACTTTGAGGATTTTAATCACGTGTAACCTCTCAAAACCCATTGACAAAAACTTTTAGCCTATAAATTTTATACAAAATGCGTGAATAAATTAGTGACAGGCTAAAACTCTTTATTTTATCATCTCGACAACTTAACTTCTAGAGATTCTTACATTAGCACATAGAGGGAGGACTTTTATTTATAATTTATACGGTAAATTGTAATTATTATATTTATTCAATTGTAAAGTCCAATAAGGAAGTTTAATAAATGTGAGAACGCATTAATTTTGCGACGATATTAAATTAATAGTTATCGAATTATTAAAGTGTATTGGACATTTTTTAAATATGTATAAGTAATTATAAAAATACTGATATTAATATTGGAAAGACCCTGTGTTATCGAATTTACATTTTTAATTATCTCTAATAGAGGTCACGTTATATTCACAAAAACTTCAACAGTCATTTAATAATTTTCTTGACGTTACGTATTGCATTATCAAGAGAGAATGAACGTAATAAATTATACAACATAAAAATACAATAAACCGACATAATTTCGGTACGTAATCGATTGAATTTTCGTTCTTTGCAGAGATGATCGTGAAAAATTGAGTTTTACGTCCCGCGCTACTAAAATAAAATATCGTAGAACAAATCCAAGGATTCCGCACGAAACGGCAAAATTCAATTTTCTTTTCTCCTTCTTCCGAAAATGACAAAACGGCTATTTCTTCCGAAGGACATCTGTTCTTCCGTGCCAACGTTCTCCCCCGAGTTTCGATCATGTGGTGACCTTTGAAGTAGGACGATAGTAAATATCTTTACAGGTACAAGCGAGTCCATGCGAAAGCCAATTTCGTAATCGAGATGTAAATTGCACCGCATCTGGCCGATTGCCAGTTCTCTCTCTCTCTCTCTCTCTCTCTCTCTGTCTTTCTCTCTCTCTCTCTCTATCTCTCCTTCTCTTTTCCACTCTCTTCATCTATTGAACTTCGCTTTCTGCTTGTGATATGCTTTCGGTACTGCAAGCTCTTCTTGTCCAAGGTACTCACCGCTCTCGCTCGTCCTAGCCTGCATGTGCAAACACACTTCCCTTATATACCACGGCTATATTATTCGGCACGTTGAACGTGGCATAATGCGAGTGTACCCCATTGCTGGAACGATTCCAGCGGTCGGAAACAGCCGGTGGGACACCACCGTGATTTGATCCAGGGTTGCCCCGTGATGAAATGCGGCAACGCGATTATATATATATATATATACACATACACACATCGCGAATATTAAACGCGTGGCAGACCACGGCTATCCTCGTTTCAGCCTGCGCGTGTCATTTCGCTGATCAGCGCAGCCCTCGCATGCACGGGGAGCCTTTTATATCGTTATTAAGTTCGACGTGCGTTTGATTGCAACGCGTATATAATTTCCAATAACTGCCGTCGGTAGCAGTAAAACTGAGTATCGCACTTTTATAAATAAATTCCTTGTTTACGCTACCGATCGAAAATATATCTTTGATTTGGGAGATAGAGAGGAATTCCGAGAGCGCATAAACACGATATGTTCGACGCTCCGGATATTTTAATTAATCATGACTGCAGTTGCGAATAAATCCATTCTTAAAATATTGGATTTATTTCCGCGTGACTTCGGTCTTCGGATTCCGTAACCGTGTGCGTCCACTCCGATCATGAATTGTAAATCTTGCGAAAGTACAACAATGCGCGCTGCGCGCTATTCCAGCTGCATTAATATTACAAACACTTCGGATAGTTTAACCTATATATATATATATAATATACATATTACATTTTGAATTATTGAAATCTTATTGTTATCATTGAAAATTGCACGGTAAACTCCGAGGAGAGATGCAGTGTACATCAATGTGACCGGCCTTCTAACACCCCGCATTGTTGGATTGCCTAATTTATAAGCACATGTACGAGGAGAACGAATATATATATATATATATATATATATATATATATATATATTCCCGGCGTTTCGCGAAATTTGTGTATATCAGAAATTCTCAACATTTACATTTCCCGCGATGGGAGTTGTCGAACAGCGACCGCGTTACCGATAACACGATGTCGCATTTGCAAACGTTATGACGCGCGTAAACTGAAATTCCGAGTACGAGCGTCGTCATCGCCGCCGCCGCCGCCGCCGCCGCGCCGCGCCGTTCCGCATACAATTCGGAGCAATCGTTTTAGTCGCAGCTAGATTTAATCATAGGCAACATGCCTTTTATCCCGCTACTATATAGCGCCGGAAAAAGAACGAGGCATCGTAGGGCTGGAAAACTCGCGCGGGGAGCATGGGAGCTCTCGTAAATTACGACGTATACAGTTGTCCTTCCGTGAAGTATTATCGCTCCTGTGATAAATAATCACACATAACTGAGCCACTTTGCTTGATACTTCTGTAGGCATGGAACATTTCTCACTAGCAGGACAACTCTTTTTTTTTTCACTCATATTTTCAGAGATTTTTCTTTTTTGTCTCTTGAAGATTAACACTTGTTACATTTTTTATAATCAAAAAATCTTTTTTGTGCTGTTCATCACTTATGATATGTATTTCTCTCTATACAAATATAATATTTCCAACAATCTGTATAATAACAGGGAGATTAATAATTATTAAAAATTTAAAAATAACAAATGCAACGTATATATTTCTTTGGATTTAAGAATATTATTTCGCACAGAGCTTCTAAGCGTTTAATATGTAGTTGCACGCAACAGTCGCTACTCGGAGTCTAATGGACGGTCACGATTCATATCTGCGCATATAGCGTGTAATTTATGACATCGGGAGAAGTATAATCTCATGATAGATGAAAATGGCGATGCGCCCGTGTTTGCGTAGACACTCGCGGAAACTATCGCATTCGCGTCCGCCTCCTGACTTATTGGTCACCACGGCCGTGATAAATAACCGTATTAAGTTGAGAGCGTGCGAAAGGAAACTCCGCAATGAGAGAGCGAATTACAAACAAAAAAAAAAGAACCGCGTCCAGCGCCGAGAATTAAATTTTGTCGTAGCTGACTAGCTCAAATTGGAATTAATTAAACGTATTCACACGTGGAAGTTGCGCTAACACCGATGTTTATTAGAAGTAAAAGCGAGCATTTTACTGAAAGTATCTTCAGTTGTGAAGTAATAAATCGCACTCTAATTAGAAAATATCAATTGATATTCTATGGCTATTAATTATGTTGGCTATTAATAGCCAACATAATTTCAAATTACGTCATATCGCAACTGTAATTTATCTTCAATCAATTAGAGATTTATATTTATTTAATAATATAAATATGATTACAAGTGTCTTTATTGTATTTTTTGTTGAACTTGGCAATATGCCGGAATCAGAATTAGACATTAAAGATTGCGAATTGAAGATTAGAATTTGATCAATCATATTATTTTTTAAATTCATTTTATTTTGATTGATTTTAATCTCCAATTTGCAATCAATTTCCAATGTGTAATGTGGTCTGAAAAAACAGGTCATTTGGACTCGTCAATCTTCAGTTAAAAAAGAAATTTTTATTATGTGACAATCTCTTTGATGGAAGTTCAGTTAATAATTAGATCAAGATAATAATTACATCATACTGTTTTATGCCGAATGAAAATCGTTTGTCAGTAAAGCGTTTTTATGATTGTTTAATACTATCAGTGAACGTAGAAAGCTTATAGGATTAGAAAAAAAATAATCGAAATAAATAAAAGAAAGAGCTATAAACACGTTCCAAATATATATGATATATTTTCCAAACGCCAGAACAACATGACCTATCTCGAATGACGAATGATGTGATCCGTGCCATTGAAAAACGGGATCTCGCGTATGGATTACGCGTAGCATTGAACAGCGGGGCCGCTTTCTCCGATTTATCGGAAATCTTTCCTATGTATTCGAAAAGCACGGGCTCTATGAAATTGTTTTCTCCCGTTTCCCGATAAGGCAGGCAGAATGCTCGGCTCGCCGGATGTGCACGCGTGAATGCTCCCCGGCGCGCGCTTGCATTTCACGAAATATATCACCGGGAAAAAGAAAAGCGATCTTTAATTCCGGACCGGCAGTAACGTTTATCCGCGTTAATTCCCCGCGGATTATATTTTTTCGAGGTTGAAACGGCGCGACCGTTGGGTCGCTTTTTAAAATTAGCAGTCATAAGTTTAGGAGTGATATTACACACCCTTA